TGTGGAGTGACCATTTAAAGTTACAATGGCATTGAAAAAAGTGACTTATGACCCTTTTACACACTTACGACTGTTGCAGCATCCCCACAGTCATGAGAGGACAGGCGAGGAGATGCGTGCCTCGATGTGAGTGATGTTGAGTTGGCCACGCCCAGGCAGTAACATGACCACCAAGCCATGTCCACCCAGTCACATGACCACCAAGCCACACCCACCAACTAAGCCACACCCACAGAACTGGTTGTTAAAAATTTTGAATCCCACCCCTGAGACACGGTATAGGGCCCTTGCTTGGGTGCGGGGTTGGACTAGATGACCTACAAGGTCCCTTTCAACTCTGATAATCTAATCTAAACTAATCCTGATGCATTTCAGGAAAATGGTGTTCTGAATCTTTCAGGAACGATGCCATCTGCCAACATCTGCTCCCCCTCCCAAATTTTTGTATTCTGACATGAATGCCTTTTTTCCAGGATAGATACCTGATCTATCATGTACACTACCTTAAATAAGCACAAAGGTGCTTTTTTTTTAATAAAAAAGGAAAACTCATATGCATCAACAGATACCTTGCTGCTTGATCATGTTTGACCTGCGCTAAAATATAAACACAACAACAGATTAACTTCTGGGCCTTTTCAGGTCTAAAATGAGCATTTAATTAGGTAAGCGGTTGGTTTGTTTTCGGTCCAAATTGATTAATAATAAACAGCGCTTCGGTTTGGGCTTGAAATCCCTCCCGATACGGTGCTCAGTTCATTGCCTGGCTAATGACTTTTTTTTTAAAAAAAAAATCCTTTCCATTATCAAATTATTAGAGAATAACAACCACCCAATAAATGGTAAGGGTTCAGCCTGAAGAGAAACTTTGACAGATTAACCTCCATTAGGATAATTGCCGCTGCTTGGTATGGGTGCGTGTGGGAGTCCGAATGTTCATACGGGTGAATGCCTCCCTGGGTTTACCACCCACACTCTGGATTTCTCTCAGACTGTGATAATCTTAACGCAGTCTTTCTCCATTTTGGCACCTTTGAAAATGGTGTTGGACTTCAACTCCCAGAAATCCCCAGCTAGCACAACCCAGGTGGTATCAGCCTCCAAGAATCCTTCTTCTGCTTATCTTTCCGGCTGCTGTAGAAACGGAGGGGAGGGAAGAATAATTGGACTTTGTGGGGGGAAGAGTGCTGGAGGTTTGAGTTGGTGAAATGTAAAACTTGGGATGTTTCCTTGCCTATGCTTGCTTGCTTCCTGTGCGGATGTAGCCCCTTATCTGCCTAAGCTCAGGATGGCGAACCTAGGGCACGCATGCCCCACGTGGCACGCAGAGCCATTTGTGCCGGCACACGAACTGCAGGCAAACTTAACCTCACTGCGCATGTGTGCGTCTCACAGCTGATTTTCGGCAGGTTTGAGGCCTTTTTCGGCCTCCCAAAGGCTTGACGAAGGCTTCTGCAGGCTTTTGCAGGCTGAAAACTAGCCCCGTTTCATCACTTCCTGTTATTCCGAAAATACCAGAAGTGACAAAATGGGGCTAGTTTTTGGCCTGCAAAGCCTGCAGAAGCCTTCCTCAAGCCTCTGGGAGGCCAAAAAAGGCCTCAAACCCGCCAAAAATCAGCTGTGAGGCGCAGCGCAGGTAAGGAGGTGGTGGGGGTGGGTGAGGATTGCACGCACATGGGTAGGGGGCGTGGGCCAGGGGTGCATTGCCTTCTGGGTGCTGGCACGCAAGTGCGAGTGTGCAAGCGCGCACAGAATTTTTGGCACAAGAGCCCAAAAAGGTTAGCCACCACTGGCCTAAGCCAAGGTCAACCGTCTTGGCATACTAGATGTCTGAAACACCGCCTGAAGATGCCCCCACCTGACATTATACCCATCTCAGATTGGATGGCCAGTTTGAACTATCGGGGGTGGGAACATTGGCATAACTTTCTCTATGTGATTTTCGCGCCTGTTGCCTCAGATCTTGTATTCTTCTGATGCTACCGCTTTAATTTCTAGCAAAAGTCCTTTTCTCTATAACAATGGAGAGTCTAAGGTTTTCTTTCTTGGATTTTGAATGGAGCCTCACCTGACAGGTGAGCCTTGACTTACAACCAGGGGTGGGGTTCAAAAATATTAGCAATATTTGTCTGTCCAGTCGCGAGGTGGGCGTGGCCAAGGTGGGTGTGGCCTAGTTGGCTTCCTGCACCACAGCAGGGAGGCTGTTTTCACCCTTCCCAGGATCCGGAGGCTTTTTTCGAGCCTCTGGGAGGGCGAAAATGGCCTCCCCTGGGCTCCGGAGGCTCTTCAGAGGCCGGAAACAGGCCTGTTTCTGGCCTTCTGGAGCCTCTGGGAGGCCCCGTTTTTCGCCCTCCCTGAGGCTCCATGTGGGCCCTGCACTTACCTGGCATCCAAACGGGCCTCGTGGGGAATCCTGGGAGGGGCGGGGCAGGGGGGGTGGGGCCAGCCAGGGGTGGGATTTGCCGGTTCTCTGAACTGGCCATAAAACTAGCTACGGGTTCGCCCACGACCAGGGAGAACCGGTAGCAGCCCACTCCTACTTACAGCAGTTCATTTAGTGACCATTCAAAGTTACAACGGCACTAAAAAAAAATGTGACTTGTGACTGTTTTTCAAAGGGATGATCTTTGCAACATCCCCATGATCAAAATACAAACGTTTGGCAACTGTTTCGTATTTACGACGGTTGCAATGTCCTAAGGTCACATGATCCCCTTTTGCAACCTTCTTGACAAGCAAAGTCAATGAGGAAGCAAGATTCACTTAATGTGATGACCCAGGGTGGCATACAAAATAAATACAGTCCCCCAAAACAGGTGAAGACTCTTTTATTCCTTCACTTTGCTTCAAAGCTCCTAATATCCTTGACTGGAGACAAAAAAATCCCACACAAGCAGTTACAAGAAGGAGGAAATGCTGTTTTAATTATAAAGAGTAAAAAACAACACAAACCAGGCAAGATAAGGGCTGGAGGACATCCACAGATAACAGAACACACACTGGGAAGGACGCCAAACTCAGAGAGGAACCATAAACTAGAGATATTTCCATGCTTTGTTTCCAGCACTCGCCAGTACGCATGTCCGTCCTCTTATCCAGTTCTCACAGCTGCAGCCCATGAAGAGGATCAAGGCCCTCTCCTCCCGAGTAGACCATGTCTCTCCCTTATCCTCTCCTCCCTGCGTGCCCTAGGATGGAGAGGGGATGGGCCTGGGTCCTCCTCTGACTGCCCAAACAGCCTCTGCCCTTCCTCAGCCTCCTCCACAACCTCCAGAGCCACACCTCCACTCCCTGTCAGCTGTTCCTCCTCTCCCTCAGAGTCAGTTTCCACCAGGGGCATGACACTTAACAACGGAATTACATATCAACTGCAGTGGTTCACTTAACAACTGTGCTGGGAAGTTTTTAAAATGGAGCAAAACCCCCTAACAAATGTCTTGCTTAATGACAGGAATGTTGGGCTCAATTGTGGTCATAAGTCGAGGACTACTCATACAGGACTTTGTTTAGTGACCATTCAAAGTTAGAACGGCCCTGGAAAAAGGGCCGTTTTTCACACTTTTGACTGTTGCAGCATCCCCATGGTCACATGATCAAAATTCAGACGCTTGGCAACTGACTCATAGTTATGACGGCTGCAGGATCTTGGGGTTACATGATCCCCTTTTGTGACCTTCTGACAAGCAGAATCAATGGCGGAAGTCCGATTCACTTAACAATCGTATTGCTAACTTAATTCACTGCAAGGATTCACTTAGCAGATATGGCAAGAAAAGTGGGGCAAAACTCAACTTAACCAATGTCTCACTTAGCCACATAACTTTTGGGCTGAATTGTGGTTGTAAATCAAGGACTATTGGTAGATTTCTTCCTCTAAAAGCAAACCGGGTGTAAATTTAGGCGGTTCAAATTTTGGCTTCCAAGCGGTTTGTTGGCTCAGGATTCAAAGTTGAACTGGAAACCATCGGAAAGGAATCCTATTCTCGGGAAGAGGAAACTGTTAAATGGCCGAGTGAATTGATAACAGGCGGTGTGCAAACAATGAACGGTCAAGCCAGACTGTCCGAGTGTGAAGAGAGACAAGCAGGACTTATAAATAGCAACTTCAGGGGAGACGCAAGATATTAGCAATAGCACTTTGACTTCTATACCGCTTCACAAGGCTTTACAGCCTTCTCTAAGCAGTTTTACAGAGTCAGCCTCTTGCTCCCAAGAATCTGAGTCCTCGTTTTATCGACTTCCGAAGGATGGAAGGCTGAGTCAACCGTGAGCCGGTCAGGATCGAACTCCTGGCAGCGGCCAGAGTCAGCCGGCAATACTGCATTCTAACCACTGCGCCACCACAGAAGAAAAGGAAGGAGGGTGGGAGGGAGGGAGGAAGGAAGGAAGGGCAATAGCGCTTAGACTTATATACCACTTTATAGTGCTTTTACAGTCCTCCCTAAGCAGTTTACAGAGTCAGCCTCTTGCTCCCAACAATCCGGGTCCTCGTTTTACCAACCTCGGAAGGATGAAAGGCTGAGTCAACCTTGAGCCAAACAGGATCGAATTCTTGGCAGTAGGCAGAGTCAGCCGGCAATACTGCATTCTAACCATTGTGACACCAAGGAAAGAAGGAAGGAAGGAAGGAAGGAAGGAAGGAAGGAAGGAAGGAAGGAAGGAAGGAGAGAGAGAGAAAGCGAGATGGTGCCCAGAGGGGAGGGAGGGAGGGAGGAAGGAAGGAAGGAAGGAAAGAAGGAAGGAAGGAAGGAAAGAAGGAAGGAAGGAAGGAATGAAGGAAGGAAGGAAGGAAGGAAGGA